ATTAAACGGGCTAAGATTCGAATCCCAGCTGTCGTCTTTGATTTTTCCAAGAGATATCTATGCTACCGCCTTCTGAGCCGCCTAGTTTGGAATCCACTTAAAGCGGAAGTAGAGTTTCTAGGTTAATCTTACAGACCAAGACGAGAGTAAGGTATTCCACACACGTTTGTTTCTGTATAAGAATGCAGAAAATCAGATTTATATGCACGCGATATGAGACCAAGAGCGTGAATTTAAACCGATATGCGCGCATTGTATCTTGTGTAAAAGGCATGCTGTTCCCCTTTATTGCAACCACAGTATGATCTCTCGCTTAATCCTCTGAGCTCCTCGGTGCAATACATCAGGAAGACAGCGAGAAAGTCACCGAGTGTCAGTGACAATGGAAGAAAATCATATCGCGTGACAGTCTGGCAAAGTATCGAGCCCGTCATGCCAGACTCAGTTATTACTACTTAGAGAATAGAGAGGATTATTGGTACCATTTAGTTAGAAGAATTATTGCTTGAGTAGAAGATTTATCGTCAAGTCATTCTGACTGTTGGCTGAGAGGAAGATTTCTAATTATTCTTTACATGGACTTAGATAAATGTAATATTATGTAATAAGTATATTCGTGAAAACGTAACAGCAATAATTTTAAGAAAAAGATAAGGTAACATAGAAAAATGATTATTAATATCAAAAGAGTATAGATTATAATTATAAAGTACATACTGTTTAAATTGTATACAGGAATATCATGTTTTATTTAAAATTTTTTATTTATAGAAACTGTTTAATTATATAATACATTGAAATCATATTATAATATATGTTGCAATTTCTCTGTTCTTGACATCTTTTGTATCCATCATAATATACATCACTTGCAATTATAATTATCTGAAATTCGGATCGCATGCTGAAGCCCTGAAAATTACACAAACGTTTGATCTTTTGCGAGCAATATTCATTTCGTTCCTCTTCTAATATGCATTCGCTGCAGAGCGTGCTTCTCGCCTATCTCGTTCGTTTTCCTTTATTACTCTCTTACCACCTATTGTGTGCGTGATATTTCATTCGTAGTAAATATTCCAGCGAAAGACTCTCGGATATGACATGGTAATCATTATCAACGATCGCATTACATTAAACGAGGAAATGTAGATTTCGCGAAATAGGATTGTCCTGACGGAGGTAACCTGTGGAATAATAGTCACAATTTTACTTGCGTTGCAAAAGTTCAGTGATCTGCTTCATCGGATCGGATGTGCTTTTCGCACATAGCACATCCTTATTGGCCACACATAACGATCCGTAAAGTAATTTTCCGCGCGTAATTACCCGTCGGTGCAAACTATATAGTCACCGTTTTTCTTCTTCCTCTCCTCTCTCTCTCTCTCTCTCTCTCTCTCTCTCTCTCTCTCTCCTTCTCTCTTTCTCTCTTTCTCTTTTCTTTGAAGGATTATCACCGAGCTTTTGAAAGGATAGGAAGCCATAAATGGGGATGTAAGGGTCGTTACGTCGAGCAACCTGCAGCCCGTACGTAACGCGCCGGCATCCACTTTGTCATCTTTTAAAGTCTCTCGTTCTCTCCCGACTCGGTAACGGGTCACATACTTTAACGAGACCTCTTTTAACACATCATTCGTATTTGGAAGAGGAAGCGACACCGGTACAGAACACGAACAGAGAAAGAATCATACTCTTTTCGTTCAAACGTTACACTGTACAAGTTAATCAGTACAATTTAATGTTTTCGTTCGTTAGTAACTTGCAAGCGCGTTAGTTACGTTAACGAAATTATCTACATTTCAGTCTCACTTTATCCAAAATTTAGTTAACACTGTTCATAAATTCCCGGACACTTTTCTAAAAATAAAACAAAACATATTCTTGTGTAATTTTATTTAGTGACAATTTGATCTTTTTTAACTAAAATTAAAAGAAAATATTTGTTAAATATCTGTTTAATATATTGCTTGGAAAACTTATATCTGCAATTTTTTTCATAAAAAATTTCTCTAAATAATAAGTACGCAGATCATGTGACAGTTCTGGCAATATCTCCAAAGCGAATGGAAAGAAAATTTTGAGCATTCTGTTCATCAATTTTTCTGTTAATTAATTTTTTTAAATGTATTATTAAATATGCTTGAAAAATTAATTAACAGAATACTCAAAATATATAAGGATGTAATAATAACAGAAAGATTTTTTTTATAAGAAAAAAATTGTAGTTATTCCATATTTGGAAGAGGAAGCAATATTGTCCGACAATATATTATGTCCGTTTTAACTTATACGCTTTTATATTTATCATTTTATACTCTTGAATACATTATGTCTTTACCCAGTTCCATGATTTGCGTGGTTTGCAGCTGCTCAGGATGAGTTTAATTTTTTTTTCTAGTTGTTCCAATTAGTTTTATTTATATACGCTGCTATACTTGACATCTTTTTGAGTTTATTGATAGACACAGCTCTTGTTTTCAGTCCGTGAAACTGGTTTAGACAACACGCTTAACAACTCTTGTAATTTAAAGTATGTATCATCTTGACCGAATTTCTACATTAAGCATGAAGTACATGATCTTTTACATGTCTCTATTAATTTTTTTTGTTTCTAATAATGGCTCACATTTTGGAACCGGACGTTTAGATTTAAGTTATAGTTATGTAACTAGTTGATTTACTATTAAATAATAAATGTTTTTATTGAATTGCGCATTTTTTATTGCGCCGATTCTCATAGATTCTCTTTTTCTAATGCTTTATGTAAAACAAAATAAAAGTAATTATTAAATTTACAAAATAATATAAAAATCGTATTGTTTTCTAAACAATATATCAATCCATAAGATATTTTTATTATTTTATAATTTAAAAAATTTAATTATTTTAGTAATGTTGCCAAAATAAAAAAAGCACATAAGAATGATTTTTAATTTTAAGAGTATTCGATAATTTATGAACAATAAATTTAAAAAATTCGTCTATATGAATCATAATGATCTAAAGAATAATTTATATAAAAAATATTTATATTATATGTAGATGCTGTTTAATTTCTTTTTTCTCCAGAAATAAATTTTTTTTAATGAAAATAGAGAACTGTTATATATGTAAAAATCAACTACAATTAATTAATATTTTTTAAATACTACTATTTTTACAATAATTGAATAATATTCAATTTTCATATAGATATTTCAATTTAGTAATTTTATATTACGTTCTGCAACAATCGCGTCGCGCAAAAAGCAGAAAACTGAAATGAAAACGTTTACAAGAATTTATATCACAGTTTATTCAGAAATTTAAAGCTCGTTTTTTTTCCCCAAAGGAATATGCGGAATCTTTTTAATTCTCATAAAATGAACAGTCTTATCGCGCGATAAAGTTTAATGTTATGGATACTAGAGATCGGTTTCCTTTACAAGAAAATTCCCCAGGTGTTGCGTATCTAACCAACATTGCTCCGCTTTTATAACTTATAATAAAATACAAGTAAAACGAATACATGTACGTGTGTATTATTTGAACGCGAAAAGAAAATTCAGGAGTTGTGAAAGCAACAATTGGGAATATCAGAGGATAAAAAGAAGAAGTTACACGCGCAGTCATAAACTTCGCCTCTTCGCTACATAGAGGTTGTAGAGGAGCATCGTGGGGTATATTCAGCACTCGCGAGGACAAGCTCTCGCGGGATCAGAATTTATCCAGATACTTCGTCGACGTCTAGTAGTTTAAAAAACGATTTGGTAAACGTTCGCGGTATCTCGGATATTCGCGTCATAAGGTATTTTCGACGATGTACTCGATCTGCGCTATGGAAAATAGAAAGGAAAGAAAATAGTAGGAATCGTTGCGAGTCTCATTTTTTTAAATGAATAAACAACAAGATACGGCTATGAGAAGAGCGAAGAGAAATATGTATATCGCGATATTTCAGGACGGTCAACAAGATTGACGAATTCGAAAATTCCATTGAGTATTTCACAGATAATACGAAATTTCTTTTATGTTAATTTTCTTTTAGGTTGATTTTCTCTTCTAGGCTAAAATTCAAGTAAAACAAAAAGTCACCATAACATCAAAATGACGTAAAAAAATTTTTATTCTTAATACACACGATTGGATCATCATTCGTGTCATGCGTACTTTTTTCTTTAAAATGCTAAGAGCATCTATCGACTAGAAATTATTAAGGTATGCTGAAAAAAAATTTATTAAACTTTAATAAATATTTGTTTAATTAATATCAACTAAACATTTACTCTTACTATGAATAAATATTTATTACATTAAAAAAATGGTATTTAAATCAAATTAGTGATTCTTGTACCAAATAAATATTTGTTTATATTTAATAAATATTTAGTTAATACTATCCAAATATTTATTAAAATTAGTATATATTTTTTTTAATGTAACTGACCAATCCTTTTTTTAATACACAACTTTATAAATATTTTTTAAAGATGTTAAAATATATGTACCAATAATTTTTATAAAAGTTGACACGATCCATCGTGTTTAATAAAGAACTGTAAAATTATTGTGTGTACTGAAGATTAAAAGTCACTTTTCGATCACACCCACAATTATTTTAACACAATTTTGACGTTATCGTGATCTATTGAGGAGTTCTTCTCGGGAATTTAATTCAAGAACAATATTTAACATTTTAATTCAAGTTCCAAGAACAATGTTTGACATTTTAGTTCGAGTTCCAAGAACGACGAGACCGATGACAAGTTAACGGGAAATCTTACGGTTCGATTGCGATGAATCTATGATCGCAGCGGCGGATTTCATTAATCTCATCGAGAATATACCGGGAATCCGCTGCAAGCACTGAGCCGACAGTATATACGTAAGCTTTCGAGCTTGCACGGCTGATGGCGCGATGCAGATCGAGTTCGATGGTTAGGAACTAGCGACGACAGCACGAAACGATTGCAGGAGGGAAAGGAGAGTCGGTTCGGGCAGAAGATCAAGAAAAGAAGGAGGAGGAATAGAGTAGCGACGAAGTAGCTAAACCAGAAATAACTAATAAGACATTCACTCTAAGACGGGCGGCCAGCCGGCCCGGACGAACGCGGTGCGTCTGAGTAAACCTTCGTCATCAGCAACCTCATCATCCACACCATATACGATAAACGTCACACTACTTAGAGTGAAACGGTGGAAAGTAAGGCCGGAAGAAGTAGAGGGAGGAAGAAAGAAATATACGGAAAAGCAAGCGAGGGCGTGTCGTGCTATATATATAATATATAAATATATATATACTGTAAAAAGAAAGTGTGTCGTCAGAGAAAAAGTTCCACGTGATATCGTCGATTAAGTGCAAGTTAATTAAGTGCATCATCGAGATATCGCAATATAATTTACGAAAATTGCCTCTAAGAGATCTCCATTCGTTCCGGTCTTCTTCCTTTTCTTATGGACCACGAAAATGAGAAAGAGAGAGGGAGAAAGAGAGACGTCGTCGTCGCTACCGTCGCCGTCTAATTTTAAGTGTTAGATAATGCACGGTGTGCACCGGTGTGTGCTCGGATACTAAAACGGTATCGCGCACGCACGCGCACACGAACGTGTTAAATCGCAACGATGGTGATGGCACGCTGGACCGCTCGTATGGAATTGCATACGCGTTTCTCTACGTCCACTCTCTGTTTCAACCTGATCCTTCTCAATCTCTTTACGGCCTTTTCTGAAGTAAATAAGTTATCACGCGAGACTCCCTTCGGTCCCCGTAGCCCATTGAATCTGTCTCCACTCGAATTTTTCGCCACACTTCTTCCTGTCTTGCTGATTTCGCTTCTCGTTCACTTGTCTTTGATTCAACGTGTTCTTCCGCGTGATTTTTGCTTCTACCTCCTCCTATCCTCTCGTTCTTTTATACATTTATCTTCTTTAACCCGAACCTCCTGCCTTGAGACATCTTACTTTAGTTCTTTTTACTATTCCCGATGCGAATTCTCTACGTGAATCTTCCACGATTTTTAGAATTCTGGTTTTATTAAAAGCGTTTTCATCGTTAGTTAGCACTCCGACTTCGCAGTTTCGTTTCTGGTTGCTAATTTTGCAACCTGGTTGTAGCTTCTCATCAAAGTATTCGCTCTTTCTCATTCCATCTCTTTTTTGCTATTTTACAAAAGGACTCTTCATTTCGTCCTTTCTTTCACCAAGGATCTTACCGTTTTCAGTTAAACATTTCATTCCATTTTGATTATTTCGTTTCAAATCCGTACTTTTTCGTTAACGACTTGTTACTATCTCCTTCTCCGCATTTTCATTATTATTATGTTTTGCCTTGTTTGCCTTTCTCTGATTTCTCTTTTAGCGTTACAAGTATCGTTCGCACAATATTTGCACTTATTGTTACACTGACTTTTTTGCTTTTTATTATAGCATACTATCTTTTCATCCCTTAGTTTTCTTTATTCTTTTTTTCTTTTTTTTTTCTTTTGTAATTTACGTTTCGTCCTATTTACGAATATATTCAGTTTACTTCGGGAAGGAGGGAGCGAGGATTCTTATTAACTTAGCTTCTCCAACTCCTATTCTATATATCTCTCTGTTTCTTCTCCCATTTCTTTAACTCATCTACTCTAACCGATTTCTACACATTTATAAATTTCCGGACACTCAGAATAAAATTAAGTATATCCTTGCGTAATTTTTTATTAGACGAAAAATAATTTTTTAATTATAAAATATCGAGAAAATCTGTATATCACGGTATACTATGCCTGGAAAACTTGAACTTATTCCATCAAAAAATCTCCTTGAGTAATAAATTAGGTTGTTTTCCAAATATTTTCCAGAGATAATTACTGAATTTTTATGCTACTGATAGCATTTAGAAATGGAAAACATTAAAAACATTTTTAATATTTATTAAATTCCAGTTTATCTATAATATAGAATAAAATAATATATAAAATAACATTAGTTTTACGTATGAATTACCTTTATTTCAAAAGAATAAAATCTATTTTCGGATTAAATAAAAAATTTGAGACATTTTATTATTAATAAATGAATACGAACTGTATCATAATTCTATGTAATAAGTATCTTCGAAGTGTCTAAAAAAATCCCATTAAATACACTTGAAAAATTAATTAATGGAATGCTCAAAATATGTAAGGCGATAATAAAAGTAAAAAGAGAAATTTTTATTTAAAAAAAATTGCAAGTTTTCAAAGCAATTCAAACACAGATGTTTTTACCGTTTTTAGATGATTTTATGATATTAAAAAGGATCGAATATCGTTATGTCGTCAGAATGAAAAAATTACGCAAAAGTGTAAATTTTATTTAAATCAAATAAATAACGAAGAGTCAAAGTACAGTCGAAGCTAGATCTTAATGCTTGTTAATATTATATGTAAATTTTAAATCTTACTTTATTTTTGAAAGTGTTTGGAAATACTATTTCATATTTATTTAACTAATCAGTCATTGACATTCCATGTGATAGCGATAAATACAATTTAAATACAATTTAAATTAATACAATTGATATAATATATTCGTTTTCTTTCTTTTTTTTCTCTTTTTCATTCTCCTCTGTCGTTACTATCTTTTCTATCTCCTCTTATCTCTCGCGCTTCTTCATTACGATTTTCCGAACTTTTTTGCACCTACATACTCAATCTGCATTCCCCTAATACTGCTGTTTAAAGGCTCCCTATCTATCTCACTCTGCATCTCTTGCTCGTATCATTTTCTCTTCAACTCATCCGTCCCTGTACCGATTTCGCCTACCTCATTTCTGTTTCGCTTCCATGTCTTTCTTCATCTCTTTCTTGTCTCTCTCTCTTACTTTCTCGATCCATCCTTTCCCTTCCGCCACTTTGCTCTTCCGTCTCTCCGTTCTTCTCCATCTCCGTCTGTCTCCGCGTGCTCTAATATGGCTACCCGGTGTCCAATTACTCGCCTCAGTTCTCGCTGCAGTTTTTCCGCCATCGTATATCTACCGATGGTTGCGATGGAGAAAAGGTCCTCATCAATACCGGACGACATTCTATTTTTCGTTTTTTCTTTCACAATCGCCTATTCATCTTTATTCATCGACCAGTATGATCGTGTCTCGCACCGTGATGGTGACTCTCATGTCTCTTGTTGCGAGCGGCAATGTCCGATCTCTGATGTAAATTGGGAAACTATACAGCACCGCCGTAAAACGGAACGGAAAAGTAATTAAAATATTGTCGAACATAGAGATTGATGAGAGACGCAAGTCGCACGATACCGCGAGAGAATGCGTTGTCTGTTTCTTCTTCGTTTCTCGCTGACGAATCTAATTTGGCCGATAATCGACATGATTCCCCAAGCATACGATTCCGTTGGCTCGAGTCCAGAAAGCATCGAAGGAACGATCGCGACTCGTGAATCTGAGATATTTTGCTACTTTCTATAGGAAGTGACTCTTGTGACGAAAGATTTATAAAGCTTAATGACAGTTGTTTTATGAGGACTAAAATCTCGAAATTTTTAATTGATAAAGTTAATTTTGTGAATTTTATTGTATAAATGTAATACTCTAATGATTTTCCGTCAAACGGTAATAACATTAATTCGAAATTTGTTAGACAACCTATCATTAACATTTCATGCGATACCTAAATTCAATTTAAATAAATACAGTTTAAATAAATATAATTAAAATAAAATTTAAATAAATACAATTTTGTGTCTATTTAATTAATTTGTCATTGACATTCCATGTAATAGCGATAAATACAATTTAAATTAATACAATTTAAATAAATACAATTTAAGTAAAATTTAAATAAATGCAATTTTATGCTTCGGTGCTTTACAATCGCCAATATAAAAATCGTGAATTTCATGATTGCTTCCATCTGAAAAATCGAACGGCTGAACCGAGAGAGATAATTTGACAAACAATATGATATGAATATTTCCGAACGAATGTCGCATTATTTCGCGGAATTCAACGAATGATGCCGTTTTTATTACGAACTGCGAAAAGCTACGGCGCAAAAATACGGGTTGTGCGTTTATTTAAAAATTGGCTTCATAGCCAATCGCGCTGACACAAAGCGGTACGCCGACGTATGTGCGGGACCAGTGTGTCTGATTCAACGTTGACCGCTTTCACTGTGATATCCCCGCGCCGCACTCTGTTTATCGTCATTCGAGACCGAAATCACTTTTTTAATCGAATTGCTGAAAAAAAGTTTTACCACCGTGAGAATTATCACCGCAACGATGTAACATTGGGATACGAGCAAACGGAACGTAAATTATAAGCATATCTCTCTCTCTCTCTCTCTCTCTCTCTCTTTCTCTCGCGACATTTGCGGAGTCTCAACACCTCGGAGCGCCATTACGTTAATTAGAATCATCGCACAACGTCGTCATAGCGTTGTATATCCAGATTATTTTTTTCTCGCTTCGACGCTGGCAATGTTTCGTCCACTAATCATAGTATAGTAGAGTCCTATACGACAGTCGTCCTGTAACGCGGCCAAAATACGATTTACTTTCACCGGACGATGCGGACGCCAGCCGTGTCGTCGAATATCTACGCCGATCGCTTCCCTCGCATGACAGTGCGCTTAAATTTACACGACACACTCATACATCATATGTACATACATGACACGCGCAATGACGATTTACGTGGGCGAACGAAAATTCTCGATTTTCCAAAATTCTTCGCACCGTCCTCGCACACAGTCATGTCGCGTCGCGTCGCGTGTTGGAGCTGTACTTTAACAACAGTGGATCTCTGGTTTTTAGCTGTTACAGCGCTGGATTTCGGTGACCAGAAATAACAACTTGGGGACCACTAGAGAGGGCCCCCAACCGAAGAAGACCGCCGAAAGGCGGTCACCAAATCAAGTAAGAGCTTTGATAATAAATGCGCGAATTGTGTGTGATTTTGTTTTTAAAAATTCACCATATTTCGAGTAGATACTTTATTTAACAGTATTAAAATCGGAGAGAAAATAATCCGAATTTTTTTGGTCAAAAGTGTCAAAATAAAATACTTAGCATTAATTAAAATAATTACTATTTGAATCTACTACTTTCTCACGTCTTTCTAGCAAAAGTTAAATTCCGCGACAATAAAAGATCCCTGCTTTTTGACGACAAAGAAGTTATCGACCCAATTCTTTGGTTTCGGCTGGCATTTCGGAAGCTTTCCGTTCAGGCCGTGCTGCATTGAACGAACTAAGTGATGGTCCAATGTCTGAGTACTGGGTGCGAGAGAATTTTCCACTGCAAGTCCATCAGGGTTTCCACAGTGCATGAAGCGATATGAGGTCGAGCGTTGTCATGCTGCAAGATGATCTTCAATCGTTTTGAGCGATAGAACATGCCAGACACTGCACAAGTCTACTACCAACAATTGCACCATTTGGAAGCAGCATTGTTCGATAAACACCCGCAATATCGCTGGCTTACTATGACTGGACTTTTATCTCCGTGACACCCAATTTTTACCTAGAAAAATGACAGAAAATTGTAGATTCGAACGATAATTATCTTAATTGAAGATAATCTTTTAAGCATTTTATTTTAATAACAATTTTTACGAGAAAACTCAAATTACTTTATTCCCTATGTAATATTAACGCTGAATAATGATAGTATTTAATTCTGACGAGTTCATTATACTTGCTATTATTTTGGAGATGAGTACTTCATTACAACGTGATTGTTACACAGCACATACACTTATGCATTACAACAACTGCAATAATGATTTATTCATTTATTACCGATTTAGCATATGATAAATTAGTAATGAAGTTTTCTCGGTGACCTATTAGCGCGAACTTTGAATAATGGTTCCAACTAATCCCTGATGTTGTAAAAATAATTACTGTAGTAGCACGGGAATATTAACGAGTTTTATAATGATCTTGTTAGTGAACTTTTAGTACGTGTCGGATAATCTCTCTGTCAAATCTACCTGCTCATTAAAAGTACCAAAATTTCCCGGGAATAATAATCACATTATCATCCACTGGTGTGAGTTAATAAGAAAAAGTCAGCGAACAAATGAATATGTACTAATCAATCTTCGTCGCTTATGATCTATAGCTCATTGCTGGAGGGTTGCTGATTCCCGTAGGTCTTTTTTCCTCTTTGTTTCTACATTTTGATCCACAGCTTTATTTCAACTGAACTTTTATGTCATAAAACTGACGTGGAATAATTATATTTATCGATTAGCGGAAGGATGATAGTACGTTTCGATTTGTTAAATAAAAATCTGACACACTGACGGAATGATTTAAAGCCCCAGGAAAAAGCCCTTTGTCAGGGCTTACATTAAAATATAATGAAACATCCCATTAAATTGCATTGCATTGCGTACATGAGAATTATGAAACCTTTACTGTTATATAAGGCAAAAATGAAATATTAATCACGAAATTGTGTATAGTAAATTACAAGGTAAATAAGTTAATTTGCTGATATTTTACAAAAAATAAAAAAGAATTCTTTTATTCGAAATATAAATTTGTCAAGATAATGAGATACATTTTCTCAACATGCTTTCGTAATAAACTTTTTGTGTCATGACGTTTCTATATGTCAAAAAAAAAATTAAAACTAAATTAGAATAAAACATTTATTTATAAATAATATTTGTATATATTTTAGATATATATTTTTAAATATCTTTTATATAAATAAATTTTTTATTTTGATTTAATTTTTTAACTGTATCTTTTTTATCTGTAATATCTTTTTTGACATATAGAAACGTTATGGCATAAGAAAGTTTATTGCGATACGAAAGCATGTCGAAAAATTAGTCACGTCAATACTCTACGTCTGTCCTATAAATGTTTCGCAGATAAAGCGTCCGAGACAGCTATAAGTTGGGTCGATATTTTACAAAAATGGGTACAAGGTATGATTTATCGGTTTTAGAGTAGCGCGGTATGTAATGCCTGATATCGCATTGTAGTTAGTTATCACAGACTGCGGTCGAGTTATCGTAAAAAGTCATTGGCAAAATCACAGAACTGCCAAGTGAAAAATGGGTCTTCATTTGTACAGGTCGATCTACATTTATGTTCATTTTCTCTGGTACGTACAAGAAATCCATTTTTCTTGTGATTTTGAGATCGAGAACCGTTTGCCACAAATGAGTCTCATTCTTCTTTGTCCGAAGTGAATTCATCAATCGCTTTTTATATTGAATAGACGTTGTCACAATTTCATGATTTTCGTATTACATATTGTTTTATTATAATCTATACTTATCTGTATTCATTGAAAACTTTGGCCTTTATACTTATTTTACATGAATAAATGCATCATGCATTTTGTATAAATAAATTAATAAAATAAACATATAGATTGACTTCAAAAACATAGAATAATTTTAATAACAATGTTAACAAAAATATAAAATAATAAAAATATAAAATAATAAAAATAAATGATAAAAATATAGAATAACTTAAAAAAAACACTTGTTAAAACTGAAAGATTACATTTTAAAATTTAATAATTTTTTATTATTAATTTACATAAATTGTTAACTTAATCATTCAAATTATATTAATATTATAATAGAGGAAAGTCGTCGATATTGACATAGGTCTCCTAAAGTGACATCTTATTTCTCAGAAATTACTATTGTAATATTATTAATATTAATAAAATAATCTGTTTAGCTAATTGAAAAAGTAAAATATAATTCGTATATTTGTAGCTTATTTCTATATCAAATCAGCTAAAAATGAATTTTACGAATGCGAAAATAAAATTCTTACGAATTTATTTTCTTTTGCAAATTGCGTAGTTTAAATAATAATGACTATATTAGTGATATTATTATGTTATTTTAAAATGCTTGTTTCCTAAATTGGTTTTATTTGTATTATTTTTTCTCTTAGTTTTTTTAATACGATTTACTGCGTCAGTTTTGAAACTCATTTTGTCAAACGCTTATTTTTGATAATTTTACGAAAAAATTAATTATTGCAAAATTGCAAACAATGTTATAAAAACTGCTTCTGCTACTATTTGATAGAAAATATGTCGATATCGGCGACTTTCCTCTATTTAATTTCAACGAAGGATAAAAGACTTTTTTCACTATATTTATGTGTCCATATCCTTGTAATAGTCATGACGTAAGTAACGAGCTTTAAATATGCTCTGTGTATAAAGATTATAATAATACAACAGAAATAATATGAATGCGGAATTTATATAAATCCGATGATTCATTGATCCCACGCAGGATTATTCGATTGCATTATTTATATTGCACGATGAACTCACCTATAAAAGCGAATTCCATTCTGTTCCTAGGGTATACCATAAATATATAAATATATATAAAATTAAAATTGTGCCTTGCTATATCCTCAAAGAAATTAAAAAATATGATTATTTCGATATGTATAAATATATAATGATTTTCTACCTCAGAATTAATTAACAAGCTAGAAATATTCTGTGTAATTTTATTGTATCCAAAATCAGTGTATAACTAATACGACAAATAACTTTTCTTTCAACACAAAAAATATTTCAAGCTGTTTACGTGTTAAAATGATGTCAACGTTTTGAAAAACTTCATTTTTCTGTTCGTTGCTTGGCTCGATCATTCGGATAATTGAATTCAGTGGATATCACTAGACTTCCTTCAAGTTTTATACTTTATCATCTTCTATAGAAATACTTCTTATTTTCTTCATGTCAAAAGTTATAGAGCATATTATAAAGTTTATAATATGCTCTATAGTTATTGAAATAAAAGCTTCAACACGATGAATTTTAATAGGTTGTCTTTTTTCTTTTTTTGATCTTTTTGTTTTTTTTATCTTTTGTATATTTAATGTTGAGTTTGATCGTAAATGATAAAGTTAAATACATTGTTGTCCGGTACTGAGGCAATGCTATGTCGAAGTATATATCGTTATATTTAGGGCATTACATTTACTGTGCACGTATACCGATGAATTTTGCTCGTTCGCGTCGCGCATCTTTTCGACCAAGTTGCAAGCATTGTGTATTCGGGATGCACTTTCGGGATGAACGAAGACGATTGACCATATAACAAGACGGTGAAATCAAGCAACGTTTAACTCGACCAGTCTTTCTGGAAATTAGATCACTTCACTACATAGATCACACACAAACGACATGTGAATAAGCTGTTTGCAGGAGCGTTTCATTCTTTTTGCTGTTCCTTTGCTTTTTTCCTTTTTTTCTCCCTCATTTTCTCTTTTCTAGTCTTGTCATTGTACGCGTTAGAATGTCGAAGGTTCGTGTAGTAAAAATGGTAGAAAGTTGAAAGGACGCATTGCGGACTAACGAGTTACAAAGTGTATCTAGAAACGTAAATGTAGTACATTGAAGAATAGCAACTGTTCATATATACTCCAATCTCGTAAAAAATTCTCGATAACAAACACTGCACCATTAACGAGCGTAAATCCGAAAATGCAGAATTTTATTATTTATCGCGATAATTCATGCAAGAGATATTAATGACATTTTATTCGTCGAAATACGCAACAATAAATCATAACGTTGACGTAAACAGCTGCAATGTTAAAACGTATTATATCATATTCTTTACAATATTGCAATATTACCGTTATGTATTATAATACAGGTAATATTACTTTGCAATATTACAATATCGCGCTCTGACCTTTCCCATCCTATTCACGCATCCACGTGTATTACCGTTTAAGTGACCTGGAGCGTTTTGTGCGAAACGTTAGCGCGTTCAACGAAATTAGAAACGCCAGCCAGCGTTATAATTTTACAGTTTCGCACTGCACAGTTGCACCATATCCGACCGGAGAATATAATTCTATGGTGCGAGCGTATGTAATGGTTAAGTATAAGTAGGT